CCCACAACGAATCACTTTTCAGATTTGCCCCCGGACGGGTCGCAATACAGAGCAGGGTCTTAAACCCTTGTCCAATGTTCCTTCCCACACCGCAGCCACGGGGGAAGCTTCCCGATTTCCCTGATTTCCCTCGGCAGTGATGGGTGTTCTTGGAGGCCAGAGAATCTGGGAGGAGCAGAAACTCCCCGGTTCCTGGGTAGCGCAGATGGGAAAGGAGCGAGGCGGAGCAGAAAAAGGCCCGGCGCTCTGAGAGGATTAGAACGCAGGCGTGCCCACGTTGGCAAAATCCGCCAAGCTGTTATGAAAAGTTGGGACTTACAAAGCAGATTAACAAGGGTGGGGTGGCTATTTGCTTCCCATAATAAAAACTGATTAATTATACAGCCCGTCTTGAAAGAAGAGCTCTGTCTGTAGGGACACTGAGATGTGTTACACCTGTCAGGAGGCTGCAGCCCTAACAACCTGTTTTCTGGCAGAATTTCAGCAGAAATCTTCCCCCCTCCAGAAGCAACCGCCGGGCTGCTGTCTCCCTTCAAAGCTCTAGGGGAGAGCTATTTTTGTGGACCAGAAAGAATTCACGTGAGAGAAAGGGCTGAAACAACAACAACTCACTCTGCACACCCATCTGTACAGTCGAGGCAGGCCTCGTACATTCCTCCAGTGCGAACAGCCGAGGCAGCTTCCCTCTCAAAGGGCATAGGGGTGCCGGGGCACCCCGGGCCACCCAGCATGACCCCTGGGAGAGAGGCGGGCATGGCCTGGACCACAGAGGAGGGAGAGGGGCCCTGAGACTTGGGAAAAGCCAGGTGAATGGACAGAAGCTGGGGGAGGCATTTCTACCCGAAGGAACCTTGTGGTTTGGCCACCATGTGTCTGTGTGGTCAAAGGAACAATGAGAATCACTGAGGGCTCTTTCAAGGGGGAGGTGAGTTGGGCTCGGTGATGCAGGGCCACACTGACGCATCGGAACGTTATTTCTTTTCTTTTCTGTTTGATTTATCGTCAAGTTAGCTAACATGCAGTGTATGCAGGGTGCCCTTGGCTTTGGGAGTGGATTCCCATGATTCATCACTTCCATACAACACCCAGTGCCCATCCCAACAAGTGCCCTCCTCAATGCCCATCCCCCGTTTCCCCCACCCCTCCCCATCAACCCTCACTTTGTTCTCTGTGTTTGAGAGTCTCTTATGGTTTGCCTTCCTCTCTGTTTTTACCTCATTTTTCCTATTCTTTCCCCCTTATGATCATCCGTTCGTTTCTGAGCCAGCAAGGAGCTTTTTGAAGTGGCATGGGAGAGGAGGAACATGATTTTGGAGGGGGTGGGTGGGGGGAGCGCTTCCGAAGCCGCGTCCGCCTGGTGTGTGGGGGGGACTCGGAAGCAGGAGAGACCAGCGGTGGCGAGGTGGCTCGGGGGCCTGTCGCAATAGAATCCCAGGCTATTCGATTTCTTCAGCCGATCCCTGGCTTCCCTTCCTAGTTAAGATTTTGTTGTCATCGCCATTGTCGTCATCGTTAGGCAATCGGCTATCATTTGTATTCTTCCCTGCCCTCTGACATGTTCCAGGAAGGGAAGTGTCTCCAGCCCATCCAACCCATCCTCCTGGGAAGCTGCCCAGCCAGCCGGAGTCCTGGTCCCTCCCCAGCCTCGGCTCTAGAGTCTGCACAGAACAGGGGCCTGTTTCCCACCCGGCCCAGCAGGGAGGGCTCAGTCAAGCCCCGGGCTGCAGACATTCCCGGCCGGCTCCCGCAGCCTTGGCTTGGTATCATCAGCTCTGAAGGTTCCAGAAGTCCACCCCACTCTCTCTCACTCTGCCCTCCCCGGCTTCTCCTTCCAGAAATACAGCATCCCGTGAAGATCACATACGCTCAGTACGAGAAGTACCTGAAGGCAGACAACATGATCCGGACCACCGCCGTGTGCCAGGTCTCCGACGAGGCAGAGGTGGTGGTAGAAAGGGACATCATCCTGGACAACCCCAGCCTGACCCTGGAGGTAAGGGGGGGCGGTGAATGGGCGCCTCCCCAGCCAGCCCAGCCCTACCAATACCCCCAAAACGCAAAGCAGCTCCTTCCCCGCTGAGAGGGTCAGGGACCTAGGTCCAGCCTCCGCCAAGTGGATGGCCCAGAGCTCCCGCTCGGACCGGAATCCTTGTTTCTGGTAATAAACAAGCACATTTGCCCCTGGGCTTCTTCGGATCAGGTTCCAGATGCACTGGGGGCATCAGCTGAGAAGCCGCTGGAGGGGTTCCTCAGCTCTGAGCACCTGCCGTGTTCCGGGCGGGGCCAGGCTCCAGAATCACAGAGACTCACAAGGGGTGGGTCTAGCCCACAGTCTAGCCGCTGGCCACGTTTGCAGAGCATCGTCTAGACCGTGCTTCAGAGTGGGCAGTGGTCCCCCACCTCAGAAGGGCAGCCCGTGTCCTGGCCAGGGAGTTTAGGGGAAAGCAGAGAGGGGCAGCCGTTCAGCCCTTGGGCCTGACCTTGTATCCAGGCCCCACCATTTACCAGCAGCCACCCCGAGTTAAGTCCCTTGATCTCTGTGGCTCCATTGTTCTATGTCATCTCTATAATAAAATACCTCCCTTGCAGGGGCCATTTCCCCAGACAAGCGTTTCCTGACGCGCCCCCTCCCTGCCCCGCCAAATAAGGCTCGGTCTCCAGTTATATGTCCCCGAGAGCCTTCTGTGCTCTTACTTTATGGCATCTGTTCTAGTTGGAGTTATACCTGTATTTGTGCACTTTGATCTTGGCTCTGTTCTCCTACCCGTCTGTAAACTCCACCCGGGGAGGCGCTGCCCCTGCTCTGGGCCCATCACTGGCTCCCCTGCTGCCACATCTTAGAAGCTAATCAGATTTTGTAAAATAATCATGAGCAGAGCAGGGCACTTGGCTTCTGGCTTGACTTCTTCCCCACCCACGCGTCCTCGTCGTCAGCCGGTGCTTGTCCCCTGTGTGCCAAAGCCTCTCCCGCTTCCCAAGGCATTTCCAAGAACCGCGCATCCTCTCCGTGGACGTGATGGACAGCCGAAGCTGGGAGGGGACGCTGGGTAGCAGCTGGTTCAGTTATGAAAACATTCTGTGTTAAAATGATCAGTGTTTAAGTGAAGGTAATTTTTCCCCCATTATACTCCTTTATCCGGTATCGTCAAATATTCTTATAGCTTTATCTTTTTTTTAAATTTTTTAATGTTTATTTATTTTTTTCATTTTTAAAGCTCATTTATTTTTGAGAGACAGAGAGGCAGAGCATGAGCAGGGGAGAGGCAGAGAGAGAAAGAGAGAGAAACAGAATCGGAAGCAGGCTCCAGGCTCAGCACAGAGCCCAACGCGGGGCTCGAACTTAAGAACCGTGAGATCATGACCTGAGCCAAAGTCAGACACTCAACCACCGGAGCCACCCAGGCGCCCCTGTAGCTTTATCTTTTCCCTTTTATTCAACACTGTTGTGCAACACTGTCGCTTTTGGGTTTCCACATCGCGTGGCCTTTGTCTTTGAAGAGACTATAATATCTTTAGAAAGGAGGTCAGAATACAAATAGGCTGGAAATGTGCCACCAAGAACTCCCTTACTTAATCTTTCAAAAGGGCATCTGATCTCTCTTCTTTCGGACATCTCTGTGCGAATTTGCTCCTAACAATCTCGCCTTGACATCAACCTGCAGAGCACCACGCACTCTTACCTTGGTTTGAAAGAATCCGTGCACAGCTCACTCAGAGCAGGGTGAGAATTTTTAAACCCGTGAGGGCAATCTGTATGAAAAGGTAACAATTCGGATGAAGTCACATTCTCTAATCCAGCACGGATTCGCAGCAAGCATTGAGGACGTTATACTGTGGAATCAGACCACGAAATCTGAACTTTGTCCCAAAGGGTGATGTCCCTCACGTTGGCCCGTGAACCACTGATAATCAGATTCAGATTTCTGGTGGCTCTTAGCCTCCCTTTTGGGTGCACATACAGACTTGGGTCAACGGGATAGGGTGGTAAGCAGCAATAATGCAAAAAGAACAAATAACACGAAAACCGAGTATCAGGGTGAACACTACATCAGTGTTTACATATCCATGAGCTCATCTGGCTCCTTCTTTGGAAGGCAGGGAGGGACAGAAGCACAGCTCTCTCTTCGACAGCAAACAAATAGTCCAGGTTGCTTTCCTGATGGGAACCCGAGGCTTCTCTGGCCAAGGACAGTGCGGGGCGGGAGCCCCGTCCAGACCACACATGACACACAGGGAAAACTTTGGCTCCAGAAGTTTCAAAGGACACCGATAGACCGGGGTGTCATCAGAGAGTGGCCTGAATTGAGGGGCCCAATGTCATGTCCTGGGGAGAGGAGCATGAGGCTCTGAGTGGGGGTCTGAGCGGGCTCGGGCCTCCCAGGGAGGGGGCTTCCAGGCTGGAAGGGAAGAAAAAGACCGGTGAGTGGAAGCCTCAAAGAAAAGACTGCTTTTCTTTATCTTTTTTTTTTTTTAATTTTTTTAATGTTTATTTATTTTTTGA